CAGCAGTATAATGTTGTCTTCCATATTAGCTTGACAGAACAGCTGCCTACTATTCTCAGATATACTTTCTACTTACCCATATATGTGGTACACACCATGATGATGAACAAGCTTACTAGTAGCTGTGGATCTTTGCATGATCAAAATCAGCTCTTTTTCCCATCCTCAGTTTCCTGCTTGGCTTGTTATCCTAGTTCCTGAACTGTTTCTTTAATCGAAAATAAACTGAGGAGAGAGTAGGAATATTATCAAAGTGTACACAGTTAGAGCCATACAGTGAAACCTCCGCTCACGACCATAATCCGTTCCAGGTTTTTGGTCGCAACCCAATTTGGTTGTGACCAGAAGTAAGACTGACTGCACATGCATGTACAAAAAAATTGGTGCGGAAGAGGAAATAGCCGCATCAGGGAAAATTGCCATGGCTGTGTTTGATCGCCACCCGAGGATGTGTTTGTGACCAGAGTGAAACATTTAGCGGACTTTTTGATCGGCACCTGATTTGGTTGTGATCAGAAGCGTTCATGACCCAAGGTTCTTATTTGTCATCCTGAACTGAAAAACTCCTAATAGGACTTCAGCATTCTGTAGATGTAGAATCTATATCTCTTGATACACATGCATCACTCAGAGCATCATTATTACCTGTAAACAACTTTTTCTTACCCGGCATTGGAGGTAAGAAACCCTTGCTGGAGAAGGTGCAATCATTTTCTTATTGTAATCTGGATTTATGGCTTCAAGACTAAAATTTTAAAAAAAGGTCTTTTGATTTACATCTGTTCTGTGGGACAACCTAGATCTGCCTTTCATTGCATATGCATCAATATAAGAAGGATTAACTGTTCACATGCCCTTTAAATATCCAGGGATTTTCTATAAAGTCATGGAAAATAAGCACCAGGTTTTATCATTCTCTGTGAAGATAGAACACCTCTTTGTGTGTAAATAAACTGTTATATTAGGAAAATTAAATTAATAGCAGTCACTGTATAATGGAAGAATGCAATTTTAAGTAAATGCTGCTTCTGTTGGTCCAACTGGAGTTGGTTGACCCTTATCAGCATCATCATTGCCCTTTGCTCCCTGTTAAATAACAAGCAGACAAGTATGTTTGTTCTCTTCTGGATTCGTTGTACTGTATGCATTATGGCACATCATTTTCAGTTTCTGGGCAATAATTAGCAGTACTTAATCACTCACTGTGTCAGGTGCTCTCACCAACCTTTTTAACATTTTGTTCTGCATGATTAAACCTCTCTCTTTTAATAGAGAAAAATGCCATCGTTAATATGGTACTCAGATCTAATTTAGGAGATCATTGAATGTGTCTGTAAATTATTGCTTTTTTCTACAGGTCAGTCGAAATAAGGTTTCCCCCGCTCTTTTCTTGGCTTTTATGCTTTTATTTGCATGTCCTTTCACCCCACCCCACTCTTACCCATCTTCATGGACAGCAAAACTATTGTAGTGTAGCTGTTGTGTTCTTGCCTGCCATAATGAGAGCACAAAATCTACTCCTGCAACCAGGCTCATGAATCATACTAAAGTTTTTCACATGCTTTTTGAGTGAAGTGAATATTAACCTGGCAGCTATTTTCCACACAGATCATAATGCTGGTACTTAGCTGTTGGCACTGTTGTAACAAGCCTGAAACAAGCCTTCAGTTGTTTGGACTGCAATGAAACAAACAGACGTTGCCCTTTGGAAGCACATTTAAAGTTTCAGACACATGAAAAAGAAAATTCTAAGTTGTACGCTATACTCAATGATTTTGACAACTTGGAAAATTGTGAATTAGTCTAGAATAAACATAAGTCAGCATTCAGACATAGTAGCATCAAATGACTGCTTTTGGAGAAAATAAAATATCAGTGAAATTCAAATTTTAATGCATTTCATTATCATCGTTTATATGTGATGAAGGTAAAATAAATATATTTAATTTTAAAGAGAATGTTGTTTGGAAATCATGTGCTCTGCGGTTTCTTTCATATGGCAGAATGTTTCTGGAACATATTGTTTCTTTAAGGTGACTGCTGAGCATTTGAGCCCCTGTTCTGTTTTACACCGTTAACATTTCTGTGGCTGAAGGCTGCAGAAGAAGACCTGCTGAGAATCTGCTGTCTCTTTCAGATCATTCAACCTTTTCCAGCCCTTACAAAGACCAGGGCCACAAATGACTCTGGGAAGAAGTAGCAAACCATAATCTCATCAGAAATTAATGGGATGGAAAATCAAGACTTTGATGAACATAAGGCCACTATAAATGAAGCATACAATGTAAATGAGTGCAGCTTCTTTGTGGGAAAGATGCAGAAGTGAGCAATTTAATGAGGAACAGACATTGATAGACACCTCCAAGCCATTTTCTTTCTTTTTTGTTTGCAAAAAAACCCCAAACCCCAAGGTGTAGAAGTGTCTTCTAAGAGAGCTTTTCTTGAATATTTTTAAACACACATCTAAGGGTATTTTGCAAGGTGTAGTTTTAAGAAGTATATGATGAAATGCCTGGAATTTTATAGAGAATATGCATTAATTCAATTTTCTTGATTAATTCTTCTTATGTTAATTGTGTAAAGATCCAAGTATGAAGCTTAAATATTTTAATACAAGCTTTAGCAGTTGTTTTTCTAGAAAGCACATTATGCTACCTACAGCAGAACAAAGAATTCTGTAGTGATCCTTTTTTAAGATTGCTTTTGATGATCAAACTGAAAACAAGCAAAAGCCTTTTGAGAGTAGTAAATGATATAGCAAGATACTGTATAACAATTGTCCTCTGAGCATTCTGATTCTTTTAAAGCTAATATTGTTTTCCATCATTTTATGTGCATGGAAGTTAATTTGATAGTGGCACAAGGATTTTTGTTTGGAGGGAGGTCTCTGGAATGGAGTAAAGTGATCTGCTAATACTTAGACCAATTTCAATGAATCACAGTAGATTCTTCAAAGAAATTCATCTGTATTTACTGCCAAGACTTATAATTACTATCACTGAATTTTTCAGAGTTATGAATCTAAGGAATCCTCTTTAGCATAATGAGTTTCATATTTTTGTCAAAATGTTCATAGTATTTAAAATCAAATATACGGAATATGTCAATTACTGTATTTTTTTGGAGTATAAGACACACTTTTTCCACCCCCCAAAGTGGGTGGAAATGTCTGTGGATCTTATACAGTGAATGTTGCCTAAGCCCCCTCATCCTTTGGCCTCTGCCTCCCAGCAATTTGCCTCCTTGCACCAAACATCCTGTTTCAGCTTCAGCACAGCCTGATTAGCACAAGCAGCTGGTTGTTGGTTGGAATGGCTTCCCGACAATCAGCTGTTTCAGGCTGCAAGGATTGCCATTGCCTATTGCCACCTCCACGCACTCCATTTTCCCCCTGTTCCGTTTCTCCCCCCCCCCCCCGCCTGGAATGGGCCAGAAATGGGGTACGCAGAGGCCAAAAATGGGGGCACGGAGACAAATTTCTGGGAGGCAGAGGCAGATTTTTTTTCCCTTGATTTCCTCCCCAAAAGCTAGGTGCGTCTTATACTTCAGAGCATCTTATAGTGTTGTGGTTTGCTGGCAACAGGTGCGGACGGCTGAGGTCTCGGAGAGTGAGGACTCAGATGAGGGGCCTGCATGTGATGCAGGGATCAGGCGAGGACCATCAGGGAATGGAATGCTGGAGATTGTGGAGGCTGGCAGCAGTGATGAAGAGGTCCTCGAGGAGCCTGTGCCCAGTGTGCGTGCATGCAGGGCTGCTCGAAGGAAAGAGCAGCTGCAGCAGCACGGGTGACACCGGAACCTCTTCATCACTGCTGCCAGCATCCACAATCTCCGAAGGCAGCATTCCACTCCCTGATGGTCCTGGCCCCATCCCTGCATCACATGCAGGCCACTCATCTGAGTCTTCTCTCCCTGAGACCTCAGCCATCCGCACCTGCTGCCGGTGAACCACAATATATACTCCGAAAACAAGGTATGCTGGAGTGTTTATTTCCACTCAGTTTAAGAGGCCCAAGTTTTTTGTGTTTCAAACCTCTTGTCAATTTTTCTCTTTGCACTTAGCTCTTTTACCTTTTATTATGTTGACATTGTGAATTTCATAGAGATGTTGGAAATGGCCAACAAGCAAGCTAGACAGACAGACAGACATGCCTCAAACAAATTACTAGGTTCCAGAGTTTCATCCGGCAAGTTGAGTGTTTCGTCTTTACCTTGTTCATCTTTCTGCCCATTTGGGAATCCAGGGACATCAAATATTAATTTATGGATTAAAGACAAAATCTAATACAAGGTCAAATTCTTAATACAATAAAAAGTGCCACAGCTACATTACAGTTAAAATCTAGGGACCTTGCTTCCTTCTGACCTGAGATCTTATAAAATAAGAGATTTGGGGATTATGTGAATATTCAGAAGGAATATCTCCTTGGGAAAAGTGGTTTAAAAATGTGCACCATATTCAGTAGTTCAGAGGAGTCATGACATAGTGCAAGTGACCTCTTCAGTTGAGTTACAATGCAGGATGTATCAAGAAAAATAAATGTACTACACATGGAAAACAGAAAACAAAAAGCTTTCGTGTTCTGGTCTATGTTGTATTTGTGTTCATTTGTATTTATTATAAATAAATAAGAGCAATTGATCCCTATTTATAATGAGTGAAGGGCTCTTATGAATGTTTCTACACTGTCAAATATCACTTTAATCATAAAGTATATCAAAGTGTTCAAGTATTGTGCCTCCAAATTAGTGTCAGGTATGCAGTTTCCACATTGAGGAAAGATGTCCAAAGCCAGCCTCTTCATGCTCAGTTTTAGTCTAATTATGCAATTACTTCATTTACTTATTTATTAAATTTATATGCTGACCATCTTGCTGTTCAACTCTCAACTTTTCTGAAACTATTTATTGTTCTACCATCTTATGAATGTTAATGATAATATCACATATGCAGGCCCATCATGCATACATGCCTTTTTGAATATTTCAATGTTTTTCAGAGTACTCAGTTGGCCTTAGAACATCTGGAATCTGCTCCTGAGAAATTGAATATTTCTGGAGGCTGTGGAGATTTGGGGGTAAGAATATTTTGTGAGCTCTTTCATTTGTAAAATATTTAACAGAATTCTATACAATAGGGGAAAGTATATTTAAGGCATAACATCTAAAACACAACTATATTATAGCCCTATATTTGAGGTTTACATATTAGCTTGAAGCTGAATAGATTTGTTCTAAACAGCAGCAAATTGTTTTTTTTAAAGATTTAATGAATTTAAAATCTGAAAATATTTCTTTCTCTATCCCAGTTTTTTATATATTTACAATACTTTGGTAACCTTTTAAAACTTGATATCATTTAGCTATGTGAAAAACTGTTTGAAAAGTGATCATTTTTGTTTAATTTATTAAGATATAATGCAACATATAATAAATATAACATATATTTACTGAGATAAACTCAAGCCTTACTTCACACATGATGACACTCTGGAAGTCTGTAGTCTCATAACTGGTATTGTTCATCATGCAACTGCCAGCAAATTCAATAGGAAAGCAGTTGGAATATCATTGTTTGTTCATTAGGCTGAGTAAAACTGATATTACATGACAAGATTATAATCATGTCAGATATTTAAAATGCAGACTAAGTGCTATATATACTGCTCAAAAAAATAAAGGGAACACTTAAACAACACAGTGTAACTCCAATCACACTTCTGTGAAATCAAACTGTCCACTTAGGTAGCAACACTGATTGACAATCAATTTCACATGCTGTTGTGCAAATGGAATAGACAACAGGTGGAAAGCAGAGGCAGTTAGCAAAACATCTCCAATAAAGGAGTGGTTCTGCAGGTGGTGACCACAGACCACTTCTCAGTTCCTATGCTTTCTGGCTGATGGTTTGGTCACTTTTGAATGCCGGCGGTGCTTTCACTCTAGTGGTAGCATGAGACGGAGTCTACAACCCACACAAGTGGTTCAGGTAGTATAGCTCATCCATGCGAGCTGTGGCAAGAAGGTTTGCTGCGTCTGTCAGCGTAGTGTCCAGAGCATGGAGGCGCTACCAGGAGACAGG